TTTATATGCATATGAATTGCAGGAAAGCTCACTGCTGGTGAGTTGATTCTGACTCAAAGCAACCCAAGACTATACCTCTTTATGGGAGCAAACTGCCTCAACTTTCTCTCACAGAGTAGCTGGTAGTTTCGAGCTGCTAACCCTACCCATAGCAGCCCAACGTATAGCCCACTGCGCCATCAGGAATTGATGGAATAAAGGAGCATCATAGACAAAGCATAAACTACCCTAATTGATCCATTAAATTCCGTACTGTGACTTTTTCCTTCCGCTTCAATTTGGACACTTTCTTAACAGTCCCACTCTCGTTCAGCGGTTTCGGGACCCCGACTTTATGATCTAATACTTTACGCATGGAGTCTCTGGCCAGCCTCACTGATTTGATCCGTCACCAATTTCCACCTCTGCCTAGTTCCTGGATTAGCTCACTTATTCGGGGCAGATCATCATCAGTTGCTGCCTTGTTCTTTGGGATAATCCCTGCCTGTAGGTTGGTGAGTCTTTCGTAAACACCGTGCTCTAGATTTGTCAGTGTAGTAACTTGGGCAGCACAGAGGTGGCCTTTCCAGCCTTGAGCACGACAGGAGACTCCTTTATGATTAGCTATTTCCTGTAGCATAGCCTTTTTCTCCTCTTTGACCGGACGTCACTATACCGCTGAAAGTGGTGGTAGGCGGCTTTCCAGAGGCTCCGATAATGACTAAGTAAAGTAACGGGAGGTCTCGGGCACACTGGGACGGACCGCACACCTTCCTCATCAATATACTCTTTGGGAGGAGACTTGCGTTTCTCAGCTGTAGATTTCTCATCATCCGTGCTGTTTGTCTCCATCAAATCACCTTCTGCCGTGGAAGTCACATGTTGTTGCTTCGGAGACTTTTTCCTGGGGGAGGCACCTGGTGGGAGGTCACTGGTTGCCATTGACAGGTGGCAGCAATGCAAGAGATGGAGACATAGGATTGGCAGCCAGTGGAGGAACGCAGAACCTGGTCTCATGATGCCCATGGGTTCCACTTACGAATCAGGCCTTTGGAAACAATTTATGAAGAACGATGCTGGGGAGGGCGGCCTGGTGATTTTCACAGTGGACCTGGAAATAAAGGAAGCCTTCCTTAATTCACCTGTGACAGCCAAGGGACCTGTGGCGCCCAGTGGCAGAAAGACTCCAAGGCGGCCTGACAGCACCTTGAAAATTGGCCCCCTTCTTGTTCTCAGACGTTTCCCTTTGTTTATTCAATCATTACTGGCTCCTCGTGTTTCAGTGTCCGGTGGAATAAGGGACACAATGGCTTGCTTAAATTTTTCAGCCTCTGATTTATAAACTGTATTTATCTGGTGGATTCCTGCAGGACTCATTAAACCTACACAAATTATGCACTCGGACCATGTAGTATCTCTACACTGATAATAAAACCTCTTCCCCTCACCCTGGTCGATTCATATTCTGTTTAACCTTCCAATGCCTAAGCTGGCCTTTCACAGCAGCGCCACAACTCCAAAAGAACTGCCAAATCTCACATTCTAGAGGGTTTGAAATATTCTTGTCATTTTTTCTAAAGAACCATTTCCGAGTGGAATTGTTAAATTGTCCTGTCTGTGTCAGAGCTGGGTGTTGACAAAATAGGCACCACTATAAGGTGCTCAGAGATCCTGGTTCTGAAGCACCCTCTTAAATATCTACCCTTCCTTAGCTGGTGTGATGCTGTCAGTTGTATGTACCACACATCTCCAAAATCAGTAAAGGACTCAAA